AGAGGAAGCTGCCTTGTCTATCTATCCCTGGTCCCGATACTGTTGGGAGCAGAGGAAGCTGCCTTGTCTGTCTATCCCTGGTCCCTCTAACCCAGTGGTTTCCAGCCTTGGGTAACCCAGGTGTTTGTGGACTACAGCTCCCAGAAACCCAGGCCATCTTCTGTCACTAAAAGCAGGATTCTTTTCTAGTGGTTTTTTGGGCTCTTTGGCCATGTTCTGAAGATTGTTCTTCCTAACGTTTCGCCAGTCTCTGTGGCCGGCATCTGAGACTGCTGGCCACAGAGACTGGTGAAACATTAGGAAGAACAACCTTCAGAACACGGCCAAAGAGCCCGAAAACCCCCACAACAACCATTAGATCCCGGCCATGAAAGCCTTCGCAAATACATTCTTTTCTAGCCCTAACCCTTGTGCGCCTTAGCACCAAACCTCATGGTGCTTAACTTCTGAAATCTTAACAAAATCAGGTATGTTAAGAATGGTATGGTGACATACTTATACTGTATTTTACGTGGAAGGGGCAATGGATTACAGCTTTGCCGTCCTACTTACTTGGAACATGGGAAGCAACCTTACACCAAGTCAAATTGTTGGATTCCAATCATATATGAAGTCAGAGGAGTACAATGGACCACAGATGGTTCAAACAAAAACCTGTGTCTTGCTCAAGGGAAAATCCAGGACTGCTCTAGAAGATCCTTGATGCTGTGTGTGATTGAAATGAAAATTTGAACGTGCTGTGGGATATCACTAGGAAAATAAAGCCAGTATCAGTACCTATGTAGGCTAGAATCTAACATTGGGGGAGGGGGCGAGGGGAATCAGACATTTAACAGATGGAGCATGAGTGCAGAAAGGAGGTATCACACCTAGCTCCCCCGCCCCAGAAAACCCCCACCTGTTAACCAGGAAAGTGAAAGGCTGATGTAGAAGGAAGCATTTATGATAAGGTCAAGTGATGATAGGACATGGCTAATCAATATGGCTGCTCATTATTCTGTTTTACATATTTGTTAGAATACTAAGTAGCAGTGTAAAACAGCGGTTCCCAACAAAACATCCATGGTCTCTACACAAATGGCCATTCTCTTTGTGTGTATGCACATGTATACAGTACATCCCTGCACCTGCCTTGAACCGATCTAACAATGGCACACCCTCCCCTTTGTCTTCTTTTACAGCCTTACATCCTGCCCCAAAAACTGAGGGTTTCTCAGTGTTTTAGAGCCAGTTTTGGGATGGGTGTCTGTGCATGGAGATCTGCTGTAGGGAAGGATTCTAGTGTGAGGGATGATGTAGCCTGGGGTTACATGCACGTATGTGCACACCAGCACATAACAGATCAGATGAGTTGGGTACTTAAATACAGTTCAATTTGAATGTCTAAACATAATCTTACTCTGGAGAATATATTTTCCTTTGACATGTGTCATCAAGTCAGAAACAAGTTATACTGTAGTGACCCTAAAATATTTAAGGAATGGTTTTACCAGTTCCACACCGCTGTGAGTTTCCATGTCTGAGTGGGAATTTGAACCTAGGCCTCCTGCATTTTAGTCGATCACTTTTTCCCCTACATCACAGAGGGTACTCCACACTGGACAGTTTCCCTAACTGAAATCTATCCAGTGACCCACAGTCGGGCAAGCTAGTATAATTCATGCTCAGAAACCTAAGTGCAGACTTGTCTAAGGTCATCGAGGGAATTTGTGTCGAAGATAAAATTCGAATACAAGATTTACAACTCAAGATTACACTCCAAATTAGGATCAGGAAACTTATCAGGCTCTATCCCGTATAGTCAATGGTGAGGGATCATAAGAATGCAATCCAAAAAACCCCAATAAGAAATATTTGTACATCACTACTCTAAAAGAAAAGGCTTCAGCGCTTCATGTCCTTAAGAAAGAATGATTAACACAAACTCACAGGCAGATTTTATTAATATGGTTTGTATTTTGAAAAGCAATATTTAAAAAAGTTCAAACATTACACTTGCTTTTACAAGTTTTACTTTCGTATTGCTTGGCCATTTTAACATATAAATTATTGCTTACTAGCGCTCATAAATACACAACACAATGATATATACAGAGGCCAACAAGCATGAAATATGTAAAGGAATACATTGGCAACCATGTTTCCAGTAAATCAAAGCATTTTATATATACTAGTTCTAATAATGGTGGATAAATATGCAGTGTGGTCCCTGAGAAGTTAGGCAAATAACCTTGGTGTGGGCAATCTGTTGTGTTACTCTTAATGCAAGTTGACAGCATGCTGGCACTCCAGAGAGACCAGAATGGACAAGACAAATAGTCTTTCCCCTGTTTGTTGACAATGCCCCAGTATCTAGTAGTGTAAGAACGCAATAAATAGGCTATGCAAATAAATAGTAATTTAACTCTGCTAAAAAGATTAATATTTACATTTTACTTTGCTTGCATTTTTACAGCCCAATATTTTTCATTATTCAACTGAAGCATTTCCCTTTGCTCACTAGGGTCCAGCACATGTTAACTTGATAAAGTGACTGGACATGAAAATAGTGCTGCAAACAATCTGTTCATCTCCCCGTTGCTCTAATTGCTGTCATACAGCAATTAAAGGTCAGCTCTTCAAGATCAACCATAATCCAGTCAAATTCCAGCGCAATCCTGTGTTTACCAAGATAGAAGTTCCATTATATCCAATGGACCTTACTCCTAGACATGTGCATAGGATTGCAGCGTTAAGTCCCACCATTTTTAATTGGAGAGTAAAACATGCATATCAATTTCTCTACTGAAGCCAAGGAGACTTAACAATTGCTTTTTCTTCCACTGGTCTCCTGGCTTCAAAACACAAAAGACAGGGGTACAGATCAGCTACTTGGATATTAGTTCAGCCATTAGTCTTAACTCTCTTCTCATGCTTTTAGAGGATAGTCCAACCTTCCCTTTATTTTCATTCCACACATGCATTAATAGATCTGAACATTCATTTGACAAATTGTAAAGAGCCACAATTTTTAAAAGTTATAAAATTGTTCCAGAAATGAAGGAGAGGTGGACTTACTAACAGTCACAAGCACTAGCCAATCAGTACTCTGCACAGCTGGCTTCTGCTGCAAACCAGTAGAACTGGCTTTCCTGAGCTCAATCCTCAAGATAAAATTGTTTAACAGAACACAGTCTGAATACACTTCCAGAGAAGCCCTATCATTTGGTTGTTTAGCAGTAAGACAACAATTGAGGACAATGGTCTTCTTTATGACAGTAAAACACTGTGTATCAACATTAATATTTTTAATGGTACAAACACTGTTGCATAATATTTCCCAAACTCATTGTGTTAGAACTGTTATGCTATTTCCCTAATTTGAACAGAGACCTTAGGTTATCCAGATGCCTGTCAGCCATCATAATGTCTCACATATGCTGAGCCTAATATTTCCCAAACTCATTGTGTTAGAACAGTTATGCTATTTCCCTAATGTTTAACAGAGACCTTAAGTTATCCATATGTCTCACATATGCTGAGCCAAAAATTGAAGTTATAAATAATGCATTTCTGCTATCATAAGATAATTGGGTCAAGAGGCCATGGGATTATTTTTAATGCTATTCGTTACTTTACAAAATCATAGAACTGCCTTTACGGAATTAGCCAAAGCTAATACAAATTTTGAAAGTAATTGAAAATTATCCCGGATCCTGTTGAGAGGAATCCTTTATGCTACAGATGCAGTGTGAGGAGTTTGATTTCTAGAGCTCTTGTGCAAGGAGGTATCCAGAACCTCCTCATGTAAGCTAGCTTTTCAAAATGGGGATCTTTGCTGGTGTACTGGCACTATACACACAACCGTCAGATCCCAAAGAATCCTTGCCCCAACCTTTGAATTTCAGCATGTTCAAGAATAAGCAACATATGGACAAACAGATTTCAGAACAACACCCAACAGGAAAACCATAGCTGCATTATTGCCTGGCCATGAAAGGACAAAAGTAATTGCATCACAGCTAGTCATAACTGTGAGAGAAACCACACATTTTACCAGCAAACATGTACCAGTTAATATACATGCACGGGCAAGGCAGCATTCTCGGGTGAAAATCAGAATTAATATCTTCCCATTATTGTATCTATTAATCTTCACTGCACTTGCCCAGATCATTTATCTCCATGACAGAGCAAATGGTGCTTGAGATTCAGTGGAAGATGAATAGTTAAAAAATAATAGCAGTAGTAATAAATGGCCAGACATACTTTGTGGAGGAAAACCACAGGTTTGGGAAGAGTTTATTTTTATGTTGTTGTTTTAAACCCTATCTCTTACAAAAAAATATTCTTACAAAGTGGCTCATGCTGTTAAAGCAATCACCTCCTGGTTCTACCCTGCCTAAGTGTTCTGAAGCAGGCCTGGAGGTTGAGGAGGGCAAACAAGATGGTAAAAGGCCTGGAAACCAAGCCCTGTGAAGAGCAGGTGAGGGAGTTGAGTTTGTTTAGTCCAGATAAGAGAAAACTGAGAGGGTACCAGATAACCACCTTCAAATATTTCAGTTCACTGTCATATAAAACAATGGAGCAAACTTGTTTTCTGTTGCTCCAAACAGTAGAACCCAAAGCAATGGATTCAAATTGTGAAAAAGAAGATTTTGACTAAATATTAGGAACAGTGGTGGCGCTGTGGGCTAAACCGCAGAAGCCTGTGCTGCAGGGTTAGAAGACCAAGCAGTCGTAAGATCGAATCCACGCAACGGAGTGAGCGCCCGTTGCTTGTCCCAGCTCCCGCCAACCTAGCGGTTCGAAAGCATGCAAATGCAAGTAGATAAATAGGGACCACCTCGGTGGGAAGGTAACAGCGTTCCATGTCTAAGTCGCACTGGCCATGTGACCATGGAAGATTGTCTTCGGACAAAACGCTGGCTCTATGGCTTGGAAACGGGGATGAGCACCGCCCCCTAGAGTCGAACACGACTGGACAAAAATTGTTAAGGGGAACCTTTACCTTTTATTAGGAACAGTTCCTTGATGGTTAAAGTGCTGTTTGACAATAGTGGACTATCTCAGTAGATGGTAGACTCTCCTTCATTGTGAAATATTAAGCAGAGGTGGCTGTATTTAAGGAATGTGTTAGCTGTGGGTTTCCTGCTTTGGCAGGGGATTTGACTCAGTGACCTTTTGGGTCTTTTCCAGCTCTACAATTCTCTGTCTTATAATCATTTCTTCTGCAATATTTAAACTCCACACTGTTTTTAAATGGGGTTGTTTACACTAGCTACGATGCCAAAAAGTGGGTTGGTTGTTGGTTGTGTTACATTTGTGGGCAGAATTCCTGATTTTTTTTCTCCCCTGCCAAAAAGACATGCTACCATCATGTCTTTTTTTTCTCTGTTAATAAGCTAAGCTGCTATAAGGAAAATGTAAGAGAAAGCTCCATTTGTATTCCGAAATATCTGGCTTAGGTGCAACCCCTTAAATATTTAATTTAACTTGTGGCTAATTTCCTCCTTTTTATACTGGGTAAAAAAAGTTGTTCAGAGAAGTAATGAAATATATTATAACAAGTACAAACAGATAATTTCTGGAACATATGCTTGCTTTACATTGTATCTGTACAGTATTTTCATAGTTTTCATACTAGGGAAGCCAAGAAATATTGGAAGGAACCTTCAACCCATTATAAGCAAAACCCTACTATTTAAAGCTGATTTTATATTTCTTTGAATAGGAGTCAGTCCCCTGGGAAGCAACTTGTGCAAATAAATAAATTCCTGAACAATTATGTCTTAGCAGCCACAAAGAAACAGAAGCACAGTCCAGAGGCTTTAGTAGACTCACTTTTCTACTCACAGCATCTCCTGTCCAACATAGTATCACAAAGCAGTGATACTGTCACTACAAAGCATTTTTTTTGTTCATAGCTGCATATAAATAGATTTCCACAGTGCAATGCATCACTTTGCATCATATTTCTCTTTTATTCTGGCCAATGCATCTGACAAAGTAGGCTGCAGTCCATGAACACTTATGTCAGGTAAAATTTCTTAGTTATGAGCCACCAGACACTCTGTTGCTTCATGAAGTAATGCTGGAAAGTCTAGGGTGTTGTTGTTTTTTAAACATATGTTAACTCTCTTGATGCCCATCATAGAACTTTTATAAAAACCTAGTTCCAAGGCTTCTTTTAATGCATAATCTCGCGGTGAAGGTGGGGAGTATAATCAGAATTGAAAGCTCCTCAGGTACAGACACTTTGCTTTTTTGAAACCAAAGCCTAAAAGTAATTTGTCCCTTTCTCCTTCATGGACATCTATGCATGTGGGCTGCAACTGTCTCTCAGACACAATCTTGTGTATCTATTAAGCTACTGCTTTCCAATAACTGGAAGCTAGCTAAAGGTAACGACAACAGTTACCTCATCGAATAGCAACTAAGGAATAAAAGATACTGCATTCATATGTCATAATGTTCAGTTTGGACATCAGCAGATGTGATCTGCAAAAGTATCTACAGGTACATAAAATGAAGTAGAAATATGTTATGTTTGCCAAGTCAATTCTGACTTATGGTAACTCTAGTAGGATTTCTGAAGTAAGTGAGATACTAAATGAGTGGTTTTACCATTCCCACCCACTCCCAGTGAGCTTCCATGGCCAAGCAGGGATATGAACCCACGTTTCCTGAATGCTAGCCCAGTATTTTATCCACTACACTACACTGGCTCCCAATATGAAATAAGATATTTAGATTAGAGTAACTGAGGGAGTAGCAAGACACCCAAACTGATTCTAAGGTTTAGTATTAGCTATGAGAAACACTGAAAGGACGGTGCACTCTACTTTTTAATCCAGCGTAGAAGAATTGCACACGTTATCACTAACTATAACATGAAGTTTGTTATAGGTTATGGAGCTCATTCTGAAGTGTAATGGACACTAAAATAAATAACCAGCTGCTGTACGGTATTACTGTATTATTTGTTTAAATTCTATTTCTAAGCTGATCTCTAATAAGTTGTTATTGTTATGCATCAGGTGGCTGGCACATGTTCCCAACAGAAAATTGTTCAGTACCATCCCACTACCCCGTTATCTGTTTTTGGCACCAATTGATACTTTTGGCATCTAACAGTAAGAGAGTGTACATCTCTATCTGGCAAGTGATCAGCATCTTCCTCACACACTACTGCTTGCTCAGACGTTCCTTCATACTCAGCAATTTGCTTCAGTTTAACACTGACAGAATATGGGTTGAAATCTACTGTGGACCAAGGTTTATTATTGTCACGGAAGACAGATGGTTGAACATGAACGTGCGTTTTCCTCTCTTCTTTGCTCTACAGTTGAATGCACTTGGCATTTCTTCATGCTGGACCGCTGCGTCGAACAACTCTTCTTGCTTTGCATGAGATACCCATGTATGTTGTGGCATGAACTACTGATAAAACTCAGTAAATCATCCCTCTCCCAGGGAAGCAACATGCTCGGCATAAACATTCACTCAACTGAAAGTGCTGCAGTTATGGGAGTCTGCGTGCACTTACACACGAGGCTCTATCCTATGAGAAAGCTCAAATAACATCTGCTGGTTATCGATGATATGCAAGTGGTGAACGTAGGGTTTCAGCTCCTGATGCTCTTTTTGGGGCACTTCATTTCCTAAAGTTTTGAGAACAGATGAATTAGTAATCAGCTGTTTTGCAGATTCCACCACCATTTCTAAACTCATACCTAAAGTGCAATCAAATCTACAGAGTCCAAAACTGTACAGGCTCTTTATCTTCAGCTACATCGACTTCCACATTAATCTGTTATAGAGATGTACAATATACAGGCTCTCCTAAGCTTCTCTTCTTGGCTGTGGTGGCAGAATAGATCCCCCAGTGGGTGGGGGTAATGTAGCCCCCTCAGAATAGGGGCCCCACTTTTATTTTTTTTAATGAAGTATCTATGACAGAAGTGATTCCACAGTGATAAAAAACACCTAAAACTGGTTTATAAATCTCAGATATATTCAGTCTCTTACATTTCCTCCTCTGTGTCTCTCTATATAAAGAATTTATTTTATTTTATTTATTTATTGGACTTATATACCGCCCCATAGCGCTACAAGCACTCTCCGGGCGGTTTACAATTTAATTATACAGGCTACACATTGCCCCCCCCCCCAGCAAGCTGGGTACTCATTTTACCGACCTCGGAAGGATGGAAGGCTGAGTCAACCTTGAGCCGGCTACCTGGGATTTGAACCCCAGGTCGTGAGCACAGTTTTAGCTGCAGTACAGCGTTTTAACCACTGCGCCACGATATAAAGAATATATAAAGAATACCATTTGTCTGATGGATTTATGCTCAGCTGACAGCACAATACATGATAATCTTTAAGTTGCCTGCTGTAAGCCTTTCTGGTGCTTTAGGTAAAATACACTGCAGGTTGCTTTGACCAGCCTAGAAGAAATCTTCTTATACTTTCTCAAAAGTTGGGCTAAAAAGTAATAATAATCATAGGAGCAGTTTACTCACCAAACTGGTTCCGCCTGCAGTGTCTCAATGATCGGACTGTGTCTGCAATCATGTGCTGCGAAGATAAAATATAGATGTGCAAGTATTATTTTGGACAGTAACTAACAATCTATTCTTCAAATGTCTCCTGAAAAGAAAATGCCATTTGGATGAACTATATTTTTAGCTAATGTGGAACAGAAAACAGCGATTCAAGGCTGAAGAATTCTTAGTCAGAGAAAACATTCTATCCAGTATGGTTTAGAAATGGCAATGGCTT